GGTCTATAGAAATGCAAAGCATTATTATGTTGCAGGAAGCCTGATTTTCTTTTACATCAGAAAAACAAGACTCTGTGCAGACTTAATTGGGGTTGTTTTTTTTTTTTAATTTATAAAGAGGATTAAGAAAACTGAGCCTATCTAAGTCTCCCTACTGGTAAATAAAAAGAAAAAGAAATAAAGACTAGAAGCAAAGAGAGGATTAATAATAAAATAAATAAATATATCCAAAGGGTAATACATAAGTAGCTGTTTAGAAAATAAAGGGCCAGATTTTCTGAGTTATGAAGTGGTACATTAATAGAAATATTACCAAAGAAAAGATAGAGAAAAGGTTATGGAAAGAAAATTTTGGAAATAATCACATTTTAATCAGTTGTCCTAACTCAGTTTCATGATTCCCTCAGATAAAGGAGAGTTTAAGAAAAATTGGTAAAGAGAGATCCTCTCTCTCTGGTTATTTAATACTTGACATAGATATTAGTGAATCATTCTGGGTTACTCAAAAGAAAATAATAGGTTTTTTATTTTGAGTCTGTTGGAGAACACTATAATGGTAGCAAGCACCAGAAGATTAAAACCAAATCCCTTACAGATGGACATCAACAAAGATCCATCTAGACTAACTCCATTGTTGCAGCTCTACCAATTGATGGCAGCTGAAACCTAGTCCCCAAATATCACTGTAACTTTGTTCATAATGCTAGGGTGACCAGAAGGATAAGCTTTCTTTTGGATTTTGAAGGACTTGCTGCCAATTTTCTAATACTCCTCTCATTACATTTTCTCACCATGTTTTGTGTTTTACTGTTACCAGCCATAAGTCTTACCAGCCATAAGCCATGAGAACCCATGACATGCTGAAAAGAAGAAGCCATAATGAACTGGTGTGCTATGAACCCGAAAATAAAGTTTTTCAGATCATATTCTAGTACTTTGGAGCATTTGATTTTTAAATTTCTAAGTCTTGTGGGGTTTAGAATTGGTTGGAAAATTGAAACGCTATTTTTGTGCCATTCTTTTTTAAGTCAGAGCTACTTTATTCTCATTTCTTCAAAATCAGACCCATTTTTAGCCTAGCTTCCTGAGAACAGGGAGTATATATCAACTTTTGATGTATGCCTGTACACTTACATATATCTCTTTCTCTGTTTTGCACCCAAATCTAAGAAAAATGTGAAGAATAATGTGATATTAATTTGTTCCCCAAACCATGAAAATTTATGGCTGTTTAAAGACAAAAGAACTCTTTTATGAATAGAAAATTTGATACAATTTTGCATCCTGACCAAACACATCTTGCACTAGCTATCAGAGTACCCACACAAGTATTTATTGGCTTTACTTCACTCAGTCATTTTTATTGTTTTTCTAAACCTGAAGAATTTTGCTCACACAAAAAGCAAAATATGACTATCCAATAGAAACAAATAGTACTCAGATAAATGCAATTATCTTGATTTCTCCTATAGCTTTTTAGGTTTCCTTTCAGAAAAGGAAGCCTTCCTCTTTGTGTTCTTAAGAGATTCCATTGTAATTCTGAGAACAACAATATTTAATCACAGATTTTTGTTTTCTTCAACCTTCTATCAAGTGAGAGATAATATTTATCTTATAGAATAGCATTTTATAGGTCAGTGGTGCAATTTCAATAGCCATGTGGTGCCTATCTTTGAACATTATCAACTGTTAAGTAGAAGCAGCAAGAATATTTCTCTGCACGGATTAGCCATCATCATTTTTATTCCAGAATCAGATAGAAAATTCGACCAAAATAAGTTTGACTTTGAGCAGTAGAATACACAGAAGAGAGTGCCTATGATGGCCAAGAGTGTAGAAATGTATTTTGTTGAAGAAGGAAATTGAAGTAGCTTCGTTTGTTTAGCCCTGAGGAAGCTGTTCTCAGCAGTCCATGACAGACAACTAAAAAGAAGGCTTCTGTCAAAAGGCTTCAAAAATCTGAGTAAGTGTTCAATCTTCCAGTGCAAAACTTTATATGACTGGAATCTGAAAATACTGGAAAACAGCTATCCAGCAGATAAAAGCTGGCTGGCCCAAACATGTCAGTTTAACATCGAGGAAAACTCCTTGTTCCAAAGGAGTGCTCCAGGAAGGGCCACATCAGGCAAGCAGACATCTTTGGGAATAGAAAGATTCAGGAATGTAATTCTAAAAAGAGATGCTTCCAGTGTCATGAAATCTATAACTATATATGATTGAGGAACTCAATTTAGAACCAATATAGTCAATTGCAGGCTTTCTTCTTTTAAGGACAGTTTTTGAGTGCTGTGTAGGCACTTCACTTCTTTTGAGTTCACTGAGAGTTACTAAGAGGATACTTTCGTAGTTTTAGGCCAATGGATTAATGGATTAACTTTCAAGATGTTTTGTGAATATATTCACTTTTTGACTAGGTAAACCAGACATGAAATGTCCCCCGTATTCAACACACTCACTATGAAACTGTATATTAGGAAATGTTCTCCTTTCTCTTTTTGTTCTCTTAGGATGAATAGGAACACATAAAGAACAATGCTGTAATCACACAAAAATATGGTGGCTTAATGAGTCTTTTCATCTCTCTTCCCTATTCTCCTTGTGTACATTTTACTCAATACACATAAATGAGGCAAATAGAAAGATAGGGGCATGAACACTCGTATCTCTGATAAGATGAAAATGGTTTGAGAGATCATGGTCATTCTTTGTTTATATGCTATTAACAATTTTCTTTATATCACAATTATAGATAGTGCAAGGAAAATTCTTACATGCACATAAATTAGAGAATTATCATCTTTGGGAAATAGCTTTAAGCTTTGTCCATCGTTTGCATGTGTTGGGAGGATCATGGTGGTGAATTTAATAATTGGCTCAGTGAATTTAGTTATTAAATGTAATTGCCTTGGAATTGAAGGAAGGATATGCCAGACAATGGCAGAGAGGGGCCAAATAGCTGGAGTGGAGAAGAACAGCTCTGATTGCTTTTATATGCATCCTACTTTAAAGAATCCAAAATTGTTCCCTGTGGAGCTTAAAAGTTTGACATTCTTTTTTTTTCTCCATATAGGAAATCATGGTGATTGAAAATTCTAAAGCACTAAATTTATTTAGAATAGAAGCTGTAAATATATAGAGTAGAAAATAAGTATTTTTATTGGTTTGTATCTCTAAAAGATTGAAGCAGGATTAAAAAGAGAAGAAAATAGATTTTAAAGGTGTTAGGTGTTCTGCTAGTAAGTGTCATGACTATTTAATTTTTTTTTTTTTATTCTGGAGGACTGATTAAGGAAAATCCAAAACAAAGGAAGAAATAGCTGCAGATGGTAAAACCTGAAATAACAAAATAATAAAAATAATATTAACAGTAGGGACATACACACATACACATTTACATACATGTACACATACTTTTATACATTAAAGCTTACATTTGTGCAGAATTTTATTTCTAAAGGAACTATAAACTCCTAATTAAAACATGTATTGAGCACTCATTGTAGAACCAACTAATGTTTGCAATATTACTTTTCCAGTTTAATTTAAATGGTATTCTAAAATAAACAGAGCTGAAAGCAGATTACTAAAGGTACTCTCAGAGGGTATAAGAGAAACAGGAAAGGGTAGTGGTAAATTCTTAGGAACTGAAAATTATCTATTTTGTTTCTTCTTTAAGTTCCTGAACATAAAACAATGCTGAAAACATAACCCAGTTTTACAAAGCAGTGCTTAAGTAATATGCAATATTTGCATGTAGAATATAATTTTTACTCACCCTAAGGCTGCTTTACCTTCCCTTAGGAATGGTTAGGGCTGAGAATGAAACAGGAACAAAGGTACCTAGAGTCACTTTAATGTCTCTACATTTTGCTTTCTGTAGTTAGAGTACAGACCCAAAACTCATTAGAAGTAGCAGGAATCTATATACTAACAGGAAGAGAATAATGGGAACTGGGGGTTTTTCAACTCAATTGAAACTGATGGGGCTTGAGGATGTGCAATGTCTTGTGACTGGTGCTGAGCACTGAGCCAGACGAGCCTGAAGTTCCTCTGTTTCGTGGCTGAGAAACGCGCTCTTTATGTTTTGATTTTTTATGGGGCTTTTTGGTTTTTGGGATTTGTTTGTTTGTTTGTTTGTTTGTGGTTTTGTTTTTTTTTTTTGGATTTTTTTTTGTGTGGGCTTTTTTTTTTTTTTTGGTTGGTTGGTTGGTGGCTTTTTTTGGTTGTTGGGGTTTTTTTGGTCAGTTGGTTTTTGTTCTGGGTTTTTTTTTTTTTTGGTGGGGTTTTGGGGTTTCTTTAGAGGAAAAAAATTATGTATACAGAAATTACTGACAATAAGTAGTGAAGTGCTTCTTCTGCTGAGCACTCCATGGTGTTTTGTATGTGGCTATGGTCATCTGCATAAGGATTATCTCCGATGCCCAAATGGAGAGGTGTAGCTGAGGGTTGACTCGCCATCTGAACAAGGGCATCAGTGGGGAGCAGAGAGAGCACAAAGGTTGTCCTAATTCTGCACTTTCTGCATGGCTTCATCCCTGTCCTTTCTACAAACGATTGCTGACAACCTTCCCTGAGGGAAGCAAGAAAGAAACTCAGTGAATTTCATAAAAGTACCAGCATTACCCATGTTGGATGAAGAACAGAGGAGATGGTTTTTAAAATTTATCTCGACATTGTCGCTTTTGAGGGAATTTTGGGGAATATGTAAATAAAAAACACAATTTAGTGGTATTTGTGTCATGTATAAATAGGAAAAGTGGAGCAGCGTTAGTTCTTGACTCAAAAGGATGGGGACCTGCCAATTCTGTAGGTTGTCCTATGTCATCACCACCAGGCACCCATGCAAAAGCAATCCCAGATTTCCTGGCTAATCAAAGCCTGCAACAAAGGACTTTCACATCAGGCTCTCTGTACCCACAAAATGACTAGGCAGAGCAGGGAGTGTTTCTGTTCCATGTGGGTCAGCCATGGCACATACCATCATTCGGTGGTATGAAAACTTTTGTGGCAATTGTGCTGTAGACACATGAAATATGGGAGGAAAAATGTTCTGACCAACTCCAGACTTATTAATAACTGGCCAAACAGGGCTCAGAAGAAAAGGAGAAGGTAACTTATACATCCTTATATATAGAGAGTATAAACCATTCAAAGGAGTAGAAAGAGTATTGACCATTCAATAAGACTTCCACTTAAAAATAAATAAATATCCTGCAGCTACCTATTATGAGAAGACAGGAGACTATTTGTGTTTGACAATTCCTCAGGTGTCAAGTAAATAAATTTAATATAACTGCCTCAGAAATATTTCTGAGAACTTCCCCACATTTCTACAACAAGCAGCGACTGATTCTCCTCATTGCACCGCAGTTTATTCAGAAGGAAAAGGTACCCTTTAGAGCTAAACAGATTGAATTTTGTAGAATTTTTCTCTCAAGGCCATGATAAGACTTCAAGCAAGATCCCCTTTCCTCATTCCCCATGCTTACCAAAGGCATGGGGGTCTTTTACACTGGAAAATGTGACAGAAGCCATTATATATCCAATATGCTGACTTGCTTTCTGAAACCCCGATTTGTGCATAGTAGGGCAGATATTCCACAGTGGCCAGTTCCATGGGCTATAAGGCTGCTTTTCGCTGCCGCAGCACTGTAAAAGAGCCATGGTGTAGCTGAACATTGTACCTTACTACCGCCTGTGCCACTGGGATGCATCCCTTTGGAGGGATTAAAATGCCTAAAATGAGGGATGTAATGTAACGAGAGAGCACATGGAAAGACAAGAAATATAAAAGGGAGAAAGGGAAGGAAGTGATTTTGAAGAGGACTAATAAAGTATATGTCACCCTGCTGATTGCTTTTTCTTTTCATTTTTCTTTTTTCTTTTCTAAGTCAAAATGCTTCCCCAGTCTCAAGTGTCTGACTTGTCAGCAAATGAATTGCATTGAAAATCTTTGTTAGTATCTTATTAAAAAGGTGAAGTTTTAAAAGCATTTTGTCCCATTATAAATTTGAAGTGATGAAATATAAAAGTAAATATTTTTGCCAGTCTAGTCTGCCCTTTACAGTCCTGCTTTCCTCTAGAGAAACAAAATCTGCTGGCTCTGGATTACATCCATTTGCAATTGCCAACAGATTCTCTCTGATGAATCTTCAAGCAGTTGAGTCAGGTTGGACAGGCAAAATGTCCATCTGTACCATCCCTGATGGATGTAACAAAGCTTGGAATGCATTCACAGTACCAGAGCAGCAATCAAGAAAGCAGAGAACTAGTAAAAATCGTGATCTTTATTTTATGTTATATATTTTTTAGTCTTATTTTATTTTAATTTCATTTATTTTTAATATAGATTGAATAGTTTCTACATTGCTCTGCATGGGAAATAGGAAAGTACTTTTCCAAAGCCCAACAGACAGGAAGATTAGGGGAAAATTTTTCAAAGCAAAGGTAAGTGTGAGTATTAATCAATCAGCTACTGTTGGTGTTTCTGAAAGTCATGCAGCTAAAACTCTGTATGCTGCTTTGAAAAGATACCCCTAAAATGTCACAAATCTGGTAGGCAGACAGCTGCAGGAGATAGCAATGGTACATGTCTGTCTGTTTGTCTAATTTTAGGAAGATTACCTTAATCATATCTAATGACAGCGTATTTTGGGGGAAAATTTTTCTACCAAAATAATGCTGGCTGTCTAACATTTCCTACAGGAGTGCTACAGTTTGTTTTTTTTTTTTTTTTTATTTCAATGTATATATTTTGTGGGAACTTTTTGCTTTCCTCCTGAAAGAATATATATATATATTTATTATATTCATATCTGGAGCATAAACAAAATCAAATCAAAATTCTCAAATTCAATGGTTCAAAGCACTTCCCTTTGAAGAATATATAAAGCACAAAGAAAGGCTTAGTCAGGGGATAACACTATGGTCTGAAATAATTCAGGCTGAATTTGACCTTTGCGGTAGGTTTCTGCTCAGCACGACTTATGAAAGCCATCCATGAGACCTCTATTTCTTCTCCATGGGAGATGGAAGGGACACAGAGTTCCTGCAGAGAACAGCAGACGAGAGACAGCATATGAAGTCAAGGAATAGGAAGTGATTCCATCTTTACCAGACCAAATCAATATTATAAATAAATCTGGAACAAAATTATGATACAGTTATGCAGTGAACAGTTTGAATGAAAATGAATATTCTGAAAGTAATAATGTCTGAGCTTGGACTGGTGTCCAGACAGAACCTGCTTTTTGTCATAGGTCTTGGCCCTAGTTTCAGATTGGTTGTCACCTTGCTGCCTATAAAATGGCTTCTTAGAATCAGCTAAACTTGTTTTAAAATGTACTGCAGGAAAATCCATTAGGGACTATCTTACTGGCAGCTGACTGAAGAAAATTTGAGTTATTTTAATGAAGCTACCCCAATATAGATGATGAAGTTGTTTCCCAGAAGTGTTCTCCAAGACGGAATTAGAATGAAGAAAAGGTTTAATGACAAATTCACTGGTTCTGTGTTACCCCAGCCTCCCCTTTTTCTTTGGAGAAATGCAATCTTTGTCCCATTTATAGCACTATTTATTATAACTGATTCATATGTTGGATCTGAACAACCACTTTCTAACCAGGCGACTATCCTGCTGAGTTCAAAGACTTCCAGTGCTTCAACATAAGGTGTTTAGGGGTGTCTTTTCAAAGTTATGTATCAGTTTAGTCACATAGTTCCTGCTAACATCAAGGAAAGTTGTCTGGTTAAATCCCCCACGTAAACTTCCTTTGAAAAAATTACCCCTAAAGCATCCCATCTGCTGAGGTTTGAAAGCGGACTTCAATCAATATATTTGTTAAATGAAATGTGAAGAAGATCCGTTATTTGTACTCTGGATACTCTTGCTTAATAAAGAGTAACACAGTGATGGTTAAAACATAAGGGTTCTTATTCTGTTTGAATTAGTCTTCAAATATTTGTCTAAAATATTCATAACTTTCACTTTAAAAAAAATTGGAAATAAAATTTCATTGGAAGAACCTCTGTCAGGTGACTGCTTTTTAAAGCCTTTTCTCTAGCCAGAATGCATACATATATGTTAGTGAGGACAGGTGTATATTTTTATGTACTTTAAAACTTCAATCTGTTTTAAGCATTTTGAACCATGAAATCAAAATTTCTTATGTGCTTAATGAGAGGCACCTCATCTAATTTCAGATATTAAGAGGTTTATTGTCTAATTTCAATCATAATCTGAGACTTCTCAGCATTTAATGGAGACTAAAATTTTCATAATTCCATAATTAATTCATTCAAAAATCCAGGTTAACTTTTGAATCTCTCTGCTCTCTGTGCTAAGTGACGAGAAAGAAGAGATTTGATTATAAAAGCAGCTTGGTCTGCATTACAGGTACAGGTAGACACATTCAATTTAAACTGCTGAAGCCAGATAATATTTATTTTACTATGAAATTTATTCTCTCAAATAAATTCTCTCAAATTTATTCTCTCACTTTCCCTTTAAGTGTAACAGAAGCCCAGGTTAATTTGAATACTAAGGTTCCCACTTTTGTATAAACCTGTGCCTTAGCCTATTGTCAAATATAAAATAGAAGCATCATACACCTCTACTGATAAGAGAAAGAAAATCTCTTCTTTCTCATAACTTAGCACAGAGAGCAGAGAGATTCAAAAGTTAACCTGGATTTTTGAATGAAAAACTGTGACAATGCTGAAAGACTGATGAGCAACATAAATGTACATTTCTTGTCCTCCCAGTTTATTTTCTGGTATCAGGACTTGGTTTTAGAAATACAGCAGTGATATTTTCTGTAACACCTTTAAAATCAAAAATGACAAAACAGAATCATTGAATGGTTTGGGTTGGAAGTGGCCTTAGAGATCATGATGTTTCAACCTTTCTGCTGCGGTCAGGGAGACCATCCACTGGACCATGTTCCTCAAAACCCCACCCAACCTCATCCTGAACACATCCACAATGAGTTTTCTGGGAAATGTGTTCCAGTGCCCCACCACCCTCAAAGCAAATATTTTCCAATGGTATTTTTAAATCAAAATAAAAAATGTCAGCTTGTACTAATTTTCTATTTTTTTTTTCATATGTGAAACCTCATCAGATAATGTTCATCAGTTTCTCTTAGCAATATTTCGTATTCCTAAGTTACTCTGCTAACTTATTCTGTGGCCTTGCTGAATGATCTCCTCTGACGTGCACCAAAACAACAATATTCTGGTGAAAATCACACTGGTGTGACCAGTGTGAAGATGGGCTCATAGGAAAGTTAGTCAAGTAATGATATTTGAACCACATTAGGGTGTGGCAGCTGAGTAAAGTAAAATGCAATATTCAAGAGTCTTCCTGGAAATGGGAATGGGAAGGGGAAGGGTTATAACAAGGGGAAGGGGAAGGGGAGGAGGAAGGGAAAGAAGAAGGGGGAGGAAAGGGCAAGGGTAAGGGGAAAAGGAAGAGGAAGGAAAGGGGAAAAGATCTATGGACCATTTCTCCTAATATCCCTAGAGTGTTCAACATGCAAAAATGACTTTTTGAAATGTACTACTGGGTTCCCTAAACTATGATTCTATGATACTGTGAATAAAAGTTAAATATGAAACTCCCTTACTCCCAGGAGGAATAAATGTCTCAATCTGATTCTCTCATTCAGAACCTGAAGTGGGAGCTGAGGCTGGAGATGACCAAGACAGGACACTTCCACAGCCACCACACAGTTTTGATGTGGTTGTGTATTTATTTTGTTGGCTGAGCTCATGTCACATTCTGCTTCTCTGCCTTGCCCACCCATCCTCCCCCCATTCTCTCACTTAGATTCACATCTCTCCTTTTTTTTCCCTCTTCTCCCAGTCTCCCTCATGTCAGAGACCTGTGCAATATCATTTTCTGCATAATGAAATCTAGAGTGACATTAATGGAAGTGTAATTTTATAGTGGGGAATGGGCCTAGCTGATTGTTTCTACCTGCTGTGTTTTGATGATAGACATTGGGATGTCACCATCTGTGTAATGAAATTTCACCTCCATAATGGTTCAGATTATCAAACATTCTCCCAAGCTGTCTTGCAGAAATTTATTTATTTATTTATTTACTCAATAAGGACAGTGAAGTTTCTCATCTTTGAGAAGCAGGAGGGCGGAAAGGGGCAGGGGCAGATGGGGAGGAGGGGTTTCTGAAAAAAAAGCCATGACTGGGAAAAAAAAAAATAAAAATTATCGTCATGCCAGGGAAGAAAATGAGATTGTGCCATCTTTTTCTTCAGTACTGTGTCCACATTCTCATATTCCACCATCTCCCCTAGCAAGAAAGAATAAGACACCAAAACCATATTCCAAACAGAATACTGACAGGCTAAAGCAGCAAGTATTGATTCTGGAGTGTATCTTTGCTTCACTCATACCCAACTTCCCCCAATATTGTATGTGCTGCATAATGTGAGAGAGTCAAACTTTTCTTCCTTCTAAATGTCTCATGTTGTGATTAGGAAGCTGAGTGATTCACATTAAGAGGAATCAGAGATGTAGAGACAACATTGCAGAAAATAGTAAAAAGCATTTCTGCACGTCTTACTGTTTGGGATCAAGTGCTAGTCCAGAAGATCACTTAATCCTTCTTGATATTTCTGTTCTGTCACTTTCATATCTATCTTTCAGAGGGTCTAGTTTCTAGAATCTTCCTTTTCCTCCCTTTCCTACTGAGAAAAAGACATGGTTCGGGAGACTAGAACCAGAAGTACTGTGTTTCCCCATGAGAAACTTCTATTGAGCAAATTACATACCTCTTTTTCATTACCCTCTCCCTCTCCTGCCCCCACGCCCCCTTCTAATGTCCTGTCACCTCTTCAGAGAAGAAAGACACAGGTTTTCAGAGAGGAAAAACAGAAACACAGTCCACCAGAGTCACAGCTAGAACAGGTAATGTTTCTCTTTTCCCAGTTGAAGTTATAGTCTATATTTACTTAAAACTTTCAGATGTGTCACTGCCTCAGCAGATCAGATGCTTTTAGATGCACTTAATGCCTTCAACTTGAATGCCAAACTCAAGAAATCCCACAAAACATGTGCATTGCAGCTACTTAGAACATAATTTTAAGAATTTCCAGAAATGTTATAAATATGAAATGCTTCACTTTGCCACTGAAAATCAAAAATGTCTAGGGAACACTGGGTGGATCAAGTGTGCAGACACTTCCCTGAATGTCATATGCTTACGGTATGCTCTCATGTACATAAAATTTTTGCCTGGAAAACCATGGATGTTCATGCTCTAAGAGATCATTCCAAAAGATGCTAACAAATTTGGCTCCTCTATTTCTAATAACAGATGAAATTAGCTGTAACATGTGCCTGTGAGAGTAAAGAAACAAAAATCCCTATATCTGGCCAAGTGGATTGTGAAAGCTCACCAATTTTCATGGATAATTTTGCACTACAAGGAACTGGAGAGTTACAAAAAATCAATTAAAAATAAAGCTATTGTTTTATATCTTCAGAGTGAATTGAAAATTCCTTCTCCAGGTTTTCTTGTTCTTCCTGTATCCTTCCTGAGTGTCCACCAGAAGATAATTTGTGGGAATATTCATTGTTTTATATTTGTCTTGTTCCTAATTTTCTGACAGCCCAATAATCATGTGGAGCTGACCTTTTCTGTGTTACATTTTCTTCCTCCAGTATAAGACCTTTCTTTTTATGGAGAAATGGGATCTCCTCATGGCTCCTACCTTGTTTCAGGGGTTAAATAGGCCTGCAAAATATTTTTGTAGAAGGAAACACATTTAATTAACAAAAACAACAACAATAACAAAAACAACAATAATAATAAAAAGCACTTTGTTCATTTTAACAGCAGAATTTTTCTTCTGTCATTGAATAGTTCATATTTTATCCCAAACTTATGCAGAGCTGAAGTAATGGGAAAAAATGCTGGAAGGGCTTTTTTTTCTCCCAGCAAATCTTGTCTGAGGAAGAATAATGATACAATTCCCAAATAAAGTTTACTAAATTGAATAATTCTTCCCCTGTTTTTTTTTTTTTTTTTACTTCTCATGGTTGTTTTTTAACTAGTCTAGATAATGACATTATTAACTAATTAGTAATAAATGTCAGTAATTTTATTTCACTGGAACCATTTCAAGTAGTCTACATTTATGCAAAATGCAGATTGACTGAAACTTAAGGAGGTATCAAGTTGGTTTATGCTCCAGAAACCCTGCACTGAGCCGTTGCAGCACTTTGATCCAACTTCCACAGATGGAAATGGGACCATGGATGAGCGGGCTCCCAAGAGAAAAGTCAATTTTCCCCTGATTAGGATTCTCTTACTGTAGTTATCAGCATATGGAAGTCAACTAAGTTTCGTCTAATCACAGATAATTTTTAGCAAAGAATTTGGGAACTGAGTCAGGTATTGCCAGTCCTAGATTCTTCAAATGGAAAAGAAAGTGAGACCGGGGCTCCTATTCTCCATTGCCACTGAAGCTGGCCAGTAGTGGCTGGAGGGAATGTTTAAATCAAATGCAGATATCACAAACTTAATCCTCCAACAACCCAAGCAACCACCACAAGTACTTGCTGTCTGGGTCATGTTCCTCTAGGAATTCTGATTTATCTTCTTTGGCTTTACAAGGACACACAGTAATAAGACAAGAAGGAAGGCATTTAAATAGAAAGAGGGTAGGTTTAGATTAAGCACCACTCCTGAGGGTGGTGAGGCCCTGGCGCAGGGTGCCCAGAGAAGCTGCAGCTGCCCCATCCTGGAAACATTCAAGGCCAGGTTGGATGGGGCTTTGAGAAACCTGGTTGAGTGGAAAGTGTCCCTACCCATTGCAGGGGGTTGGAAATTGATGACCCTTAAGCTCCCTTACGATCCAAACCACTCTATGGACTTATTTTTAGTATCAAAAATAGTATAATGCTTTCCAGCCCAAAATAAGCTCTCCATGAGGGATGGCTCTGATTTCTTTGTTTAGCTTTTTGAAGAAGGAAATCATTATAGAATCTCTTGGTTCTTTCCATGGACATAAGACAGCAGACATGCTCCTTTCTTAAAGAAGTGCCCTGCAAACAAAATATTGTTTTCCCTTTAGTAAGTATTTTAGCTTTGTGTCTTAGATATATATCAAATAAAAACTCTAGTGGAAAAACACTGTGTCTTCCACAGCCAGTGTACAGCAGACAGGAACACTGAATGCAGGAGAAATTTTTGAGGTCAGAGGCTTGTGAGGTTCAGGGCAGTAGAATCTGTTCTTGGTCAATGACTCCATCCATGCAGACATGCAGTCACCAATCAGCTCTCCTAGGTGAACCCCAGCAATTCCTTCCCTGCTGCATGCACAGATCATGGAATCACAGAACCATTTAGGCTGAAAAAAACCCTCTGAGTTCATTGAATCCAGCCTTTGACTGATCACCACATTGTCATCTAAACCAGAGCACTTAATGCCACATCCAAAAATTTCTTGAATGTTTCCAGGGATGGTAACTCCATCTGAGCCCTGGGAAGTCTATTCCAATGTTTAAGAACCCTCTACATGAAAAAATTCCTCCTGATGTCCAGTTTGAACCTCCCTGGTGTAGCTTGAGGCTATTTCCTCTTATCACTGGTTGCCTGGGAGAAGAGGCTGCATTCTACTGTCAGGGACTTGTGCAGAGCCAAAAGGTCCCCCCTGAGCCCCCTTTTCCCCAAGCTGAGCGCCCACAGCTCCTTCAGCTGCTCCTGCTGGTCCAGACGGTCCATCAGCTCCATTCCCTTCTCTGGACAGGCTTCAGACCCTCAATGTTTTGACAGAAGGGTCCCAGAATTGACACAGGACATGAGCTGTAGCCTCACCAGTGTCCCATGCAGAGGGAGATGCACTCCACCAGCAAGTGCCATCAGGAGAAATCCATAATTCAGAATACTCAAACAACCATTTATAACAGTTTTCTACTCTCTGTCATCTCAAGTTCTTGTTTTTGTTATTCCTACTGCATTAGCAGGGAATCTGGGCATATGCCAGCTTGAAAGACTGAGAAGAGACCTATCGTGGATGGCTTGAGAGAGACATATGCAATTTGAGAGCAACTGTCTCCCACCTTTAGCCCGAAGGGAGAAAACAGGAATATATTAACCATCAGCAACCTTTAACTAAAGGGCTCTGCATTTCTAATCAGAGTAGCCTGTGACAAATCAGGGAGTGTGTCTGTCTGTGTATAATTCCTGTATTTTTTGGTACATAACTAGACTTTAATAAAATAAAATATTTATAGGAAATAAATGAAAGGATATTTCCTGGGCAGCAATTTTTAAAGCTGTCAATAACTATTGTAAATGCTGAGTGCTTCCTTCAAGAAATAAATTGAACCATATTAACCATGTATAACATGGTTTGAGTCATCACCCTCTAAACCAGAGATTAGCCAGAAGCTGAGACACTAAACCAGGGGGAAAAACCATTGCATATTTGCCTGCTTGCTATTTTTTTCCCTTAAGTATTTTTCTTTGAACACTGCAATCAACAGAACATCAGGCTAGTGAGATCTTTGATCTGTCCCTGCAAGGCAGGTCCTATCATCCTGAACTATTATTACCAAAATTGATTTATAGTCCTCTTGCTTTTATAATTTTATTATAAGTGTTGTCCCCAGTTGCTATGAAAACATACGAGCACAACTCTACTGAATTTATCTTTTCTGTGAAGATGTTGAGTAAACCCACAACACAAGTTAACATTAATCCTTTGGTCATTTCATTGCTGTTTATAAAACAGAGGTCTGGGTACTACCATGCCAATTAAATTTCTACTTGCTACCTCACTTCCACAAGAAGGGAAAGTGTGACATGAACAAAGAGAGTGACATTGATGAGGGTTTTGAAAAGGCTCAGGTTTATCTGGTCTAACTTTAGGTGTTTACCTGTGTCACAGTTTAGAACACAACTGACTTGACCTTCTCCTACAAGCAGTGAAGACATGTCAGGAGTTAACACATTTCTAAGCCAGTGCTGGAGATGCTTCTTTTTGTGACTGATTGTAGGGCAATTTAGGATGATTGCACTCCTAATTTGGATCCCTCAGTGGGATGAATGGGGGAGTCCTGAGCCCAGCAGAGGTCATTGCATGAATTTACAGCAATGGAAACAGTGAACCCAGATATATAATACCAGAGCAAAACTAAAATCACATCAGAATAAATCACACATTTTTCTATGTCTTTGTGAGAATAAAGCTAACCTAATATACCAAAAATCAACAAATTTTATTAAAATAGGGGACTCTATTAGTTTGTACAATGGGTTGTTGGTTGCTTTTTTACACCACAGTTATAAAATTGTATTTTGTTGATGTTTTTAAAGTGGTTTTTAAGGTATAGCAGTGATAATAATGAAATAAAATATAGAACACTTGTTGGGTTTTGCTTTCATGACAAATAGGCACTGACAAATCCATGCCACATTACCATCCTTGATTGCTCTGATGGAACTCATTTTAATCTCCTGTTCCTCTAATTACATGAAAATTGCATACTTTTTATGCATGACACATTTTTTGCAGCTTTAGAAAAAGGTTGTGAAGGGGAAAAAAACCATTTTTCAGTTTCTATCCCTCACTCATAAAGGCTATATGTCATCTTACCAGCTATCAATTCAGCTTTAACAGCCAGTTTTCTATGCTATTGTTATAATCAGAAAAAGAAGTATATAAAAACCATGTTTTTCAGTGTGTTTTTCTCCCTTATCTCTTAAGAATGAATATTTAGTGTGGTCTTGTCCAGTCTGTTATTCTCTTTCCAGCTCTACCTTTGCTGATTTCAGATTTCAAAGCATGGATGAATGATTCAACACTGGACTAAGTAGAAAAGATTAACTTTAAACAATTGTACTTCCTATGCTTTCTCCCTGTTCCTCAGGTTTCGCTGAAGATTTATTTTAATAGCCAGATAAAAGACATGAAAATCAGCATCATTGCTGCAGAGACATTAAAAAGTAAATGGACAGTACTAACAAATTACAGATACAAGGATAAATTAGATGCCACAAACCTGTGCTTTAGTTATTTGTTTGCTTTCATGATGGAAAATGGAGGGGTGGAGGGGAAATAAAAATTTATGTTGTCAGCCTGTATTTAACTGGAATGGGTTTGAACTGAGGAGGTGAATTTTGTTCCTTCCAGGGTGATTAGTTTTCTAGGTATTTTTATCCTGACAATATCACTGATGGACAATACAAGCTCCAGTCACTTGCAGGCCCCTCTGCAGTTTTCCTAAAAATCCTCATAAAACTTCAGCAGTGATCACACTTTGCAGACAAATGTATTTCAGGATGTTGCTGTTGTTTTGGGGTTTATTTCTAAGTTACTCATTATTCATGTTAATTCTTATGCGTCAGAAATATCTAGAAGCAGGGGCAGTATACATAATTAAATTAAACAGAATGCTCAAGCACCTTTCTGAATCAAAGGCTAGCTTCGACCTTGGATATCCAGAGTACCCTAGCTTTAGTCCAGGCTAAAGCTGAGAATCTTGCTAGAATAAACAGGATAAACCCATACTGGAAAGTGGAAAGCAAGTATTAAAATTCACGTTTTCTTACCCCATTGAATCAGTTCCTGCAGAAACAGAATCTCCACAGACAGAGCAAAGTAAAGCTGTGTGACCAGAAGGACTGTCAGTGCTGGCAGGCAGTGAAAGCACATTGGTGTGTCTGGTGACTGACATGTCTGACTCTGCCCTTCTGCCTACTGTTGCACACAGAAAAGACTCTTTTGTGCTGGGAAATGCCTCTCTCAGGAAACCCACTTCCTTATTCAAGCTTCACATTCAAGAAAGTGCAAGCTTTTTAAACTTCAGAAATGGGACTCGATTCTGCAGATTTTTTTATGAGTTAAAATGAAAAGGTGATCTTGGTGATAAGAGCGAAGAGGAGTGAGAGTTTCCTGCAGCATTCACAGTCAAATGGCAAGTCAGAAAATGAAGCTGGTAAGATGCATCCTGAAAAAGTGCCATGCCATGAGCTCATTCTGGTCTGATCTGCATGCAGTTTATTTCCAACATAAATCATTCACAAATAAATAAAGTACCAATCTGTCCCTCTTAAATATCTATCCACATTACAGTGAGACTTCTTTCCCCTTTCTCTCAGATTTGTTTATTACACCCACTGGTTACATCATCTATTAAATTAACCCCCAATCTAGTTCTTAAAAACCTGTGTAACCTTGAGTAAAGTTATCACAGATGATAAAGGCATCACAAACAACTAATCCAACTTCACTTCAGTCACTGCAATGCTTTTATCTTTGTAATTTGTTCTGGTGCTGGGGATGAATAAAAAAGGAGCTTTACTAATCACCTGAGAAAAATTATGCATACCGTGTTTGTGCAAAACTGGGGACTAAATTTTGCATACTCTTCAGAAGAGGGACTGTCTCCATCCAGGGATTAAATTTTCAGTGAACTTGATAGAATTATTATACTCATTTTATCAGAGTCAGGATTTAATTCTGTGTTTTGTGGCTTGTATAATGTTTAGTTCAGTGGAGCCCCTACATACTGCTAAAATATTGTCAATTAATAATAATGAATTTGTTTATTTTCTTTTTCTGAAGCTATGAAATGGAACGTTTAAATAATTAACATCCACTCTTTTTTTCTCAGAAAAGTCTGTTTTTTCTATGTGTTTTTATAATGACAATAAGAGAATTAACTATAAATTAATACATTCCAGAATGGAAGTAGCAATGAGGTTTATTTAGCTCTACAAAGAAAAAGAAATCATGCTTTTTTGTCTTTATGTCCTTGCTATTAAAATCCTAGGTACTGATGCATGGAATTTCTAGGTTTATAATGACAATTGTTTAGCTAGTGGTGCAAAAGTGTTATTTGAGGAATATTTCAATTAAGAAGTCCATATTGAAGTTGGGCTTGCAGTCCTTTTTAAACTAGGACATACATTTGACCACTAGACATTTACAAAAACACTTAATGATCCCAGAGTTTCATCAATGAGATATAAATCTATGCATGTTTCAAAATTCATGCACCAAAAAATGCGTGATGCAAGAGTTTCTCCTAACTAATCTCTGGAAATACTAAATGAATGTGTATTTCAATGTCAACAGAGTATGTAGCTTTGAGAATGAAGATCGCGACAACGAAATGATATATTTTCAGAGAAATATAAGCAATGCTTTTTCTGTTACCAGCAGTAATGATTTGTTTGATCTCTGATGAATTCCACTGTGTCTCTGTGCCTTAGGATCCCTGCCTATAAAGATGGGTTCAAAATTCTTGATGTGAAGACATGCAAATGAGGAATGCAATGAGGAACAAATACAATTATTTCTTAAGTGGCATCTCAAGCAATTTTGTTCTTAAAATTTCAAAGAAAGTTAAATAATATATAATTATAGGCATTAAATGTGAGGGAACAAGATTTTTAATGCTCTGTAAATGCTACATACACCTGACCTAATAATGTCAGTCCTATACTGTGAACTTCTCTAATCCATAACCATCCTCTGGGGGTAGGGTAGAGGGGTTTCTTTAGCTCTTGTGAAAGGAAGGGTATTTTCTTCCATGATGGAGAAAATGTAAAGCGTGATGAACCGAATCAGGTACATATCATTTGGCTGAGTTGAAAGAAAATCTACAATTGTGCAATTAAAGAGATTTAGTGAGAAGCTCATGGGGGGGTATAATTAGGAAAGATGGGTTGAAATCAAGGAAACAAAAATGTGTTAAAATATTACAGCATGCACCTTACTGTGAGATCTATTAGATTATGGAAATATTTCTTGCTGGAATGGGTAAACCTCTGGGCCTACCAAGCAGTGAATAATGAGCCTGAACACTGGGTGTGAGCACCAGGACACACAAGCTCTTGATTCTCCATCTCTACATTCCCTTTGGCAAGCTGTGAGGTCCTGCATGGGCCAAATATGCACAACAGAAACCAAAAGCAAAGCTAAACTATGCTGCTTTTTAAGTTTTTTTTCTCCTTTTAGATAGAATTCAGAGTCATAGCCAATGGACAAGAAAAACAAAACGAACTACTGAAACAAACCATGGTATGGAGACACATCTTAGCAGGCATTTAGTGAGTATCCAAAAACTGTCTGACTAGAAGTCATACAACCTTGATCAGAAGATCCAACACTTTTTGCACATCCCCTTAATATAAAGGAGTAGAGATTGTTCCCAAACCTGTGTCTAATTCTGCAACATAGCTTTTCCATTACATTTTCTGCAATAATTGATGTATTACTTATTTATCAGAAATTAAATATTTGACATGTATCAATAATGATTAAAAATTCCAGTGAAAAAATAAAATCATATACCTTCTAGCGAGGAAATTAAATAGAAAGGTATCTAATAAGGAATCACTGAAGCTGATGATAGCTTTATTTTCCAACATCATCATCATATTCAAGATAATAAAGCAGTAAAAACATTAATTGTGTATCACAGCTTTGTTATAGGAGCAGATTACTTCTGAGACAGGGTCAGCATGTGTTATGATCAGTGAGGAGTGATGGATATGCTTAACTGTGGGCTTTTTACTTTTGGTAGTAAAACCCTGCCTAAGCAGATTTGCCTGTATACAACTATACAAACAACTATATATTTCTATATAGTTGTATACAGCCCAACTGCTGTACAGTTGTTTGTATATAACTATATAGAAAATCAGAGAACAGTTCCAATAGAAAAATAAATTAATATGCCATTGCAATAGAAGACTACTACCCATTTCATGTTTCCATCAATTGTGGCTTTCACTGAGGGCAACAGCAGACAAAGGCACACTAAGCCTTGCAAGGTCATCACTTTAAAGAAATTAAAGACTGAGAGAAATCTCTCTATATCTGGGGTCATAAGTCAAATACCCACATTAAAAATTAAGCCTCTAACCTCAGAGGCTGAAAAACTATTTCTCCCTCACTCTCTCAGATGCCTGAGATTTTCTTGCATGCTGTTTTATTTACAAGAAGTTAGGTAGAAGGCAGGACTCAGAGTAGGTTAAAGATCTCTATTAGTCATGCAATTAATGCAGATTATTACATATTATCAAATATATACATATTCTCTATGTATTATTATTTATTATTATTTTTATCATCATCATCACTACTATCATCATCATTATCTTCCTGTGTGTTTTTCTGAAATTCTTATGTGACACCAAAGCAAGGTTCTCCTGCAAAGATTTTATCTAGTCCCAGCCATACAACTATTCCCAGAATTCTCACAGATAATGCCACAAGCATGTAATTTTTGACAATTTAAGAAAAACCTTTTTATGGTTAAGAGTACCTTTATCAGAAACAAGTTTCTGAAATGCAGCTCTAAATATCATTTTGTTTCAGATGTCAGGGAAAACAGTAAAACAGGTCAACAGCTAACACCTATCTGTACATTATTCAAGACTTCAATATACTCTTAATTATTCTCTAGAAGTTCTTACTGGCTTTTCCTCAACTGAAATACTCTGCTCTTACTCCAGCACACACAGGATCATCAAATTAAAATTCTTTATTATTCATCCTTTTTTTTTTTTGAGCATAAGAACCTACCATGTTTTGTTCCAGAGCACTTTTAGACATTATAAAGGTAACAGTATGAAAAGGAAGTATTACGCAATTTGCAGGTATATGAAAGAATGAGAATTGATGTCTGAGCCTTAACAGAGCTCACAGGGCCTGAAGCGAAGTCACTTCTCCTGAAGGCCCATACAGCTGAAAGACTATTTAAGGTATTATTTATTTTTTGTTTTATGTTTTATGCTTACAGAATTGGCAGTAAATAAACACACTGAAGAAGAAAACACTACATAACGAGGAATAGATGAGATTGAATGTGACTGTTCCAGACCTGTACAAGAGGCACTGGCCCATTAAATGAATGTGTAGAGCTACTTCTTAATGTGTTAGCCAAGTAATCAATTTCTGAAAATACCAAATAATTTAAAAATAGCCCTGTTTGACCTGAAACAGTGCTGGCATTAGACCAGGCATTTCTCAGGTACCTACTTCTTCCCTTAATCAATCAGTTCTGACATTTTTCCTTTTTTCTTTTATTCCTTCTTCTCTCTCCTTGTTTTATAAACCTTCTTTTGTAAAATTATGTGGCCAGCCAACCTGAAGAGAGAAAATTCTTAAGCTTCTTTTAATATTCCATTAGCTTTGTAGCCCATTAACACATTGGAGTGGTTGCAAAGGGAGAATCAATACAGCAGACACAACACGATTCTTGAAACCAGGACCCTGGGGGTCTGCTCATGGTGTTGGAATAGCTTTGCTCCACAACCTTCAGCCAGACACTTAACCTCTTGATGCCTCAGTTTATTCAGCTGTAAGCAAATGCAACAACATTTGCATACTGCACAAAGGTCTTGAGAAATGTAATTTGTAAATCTTGGGCATGCACATCCATTCATTCCTAGTCAGACTTGCAATTCTCTTACAGGAGTCAGGTAAAAATCTGAGGCAATTTCAGAAAATATTGCTTTTAATATATGCTATCTGTTTGAAATCTTTGAGTTAAATAAGTTTATCAGGTCCAAGAGTTGAATCCAGTAAAAATACACTGGGATATTTTTTCTTCTCTTATAAAGAAACCAAAACTGAATTAGGAAAAGAGAAAAAGCACAAAAGAAAATTAGGATTGATGAACAAGACACAAAGATCTTTTTTTCATGGTGGAATTTATAGTCACTGGAAGTTGTTTATAGTAGATTTTAAGAAACTACAGAATATACTAGATATCTATACACATAAAAAATATCCCTTGACAGTTGAAGTAATATTTCAATTCAAATTTGAATGGGATCTAAAGATTCATTAATATATTCAGGAAGTAATTTAGTCTCTAAAATTAGTGATCACAATGTAGCAAAGTTAACCTTCCATCTTAGCCAATATAATACTACTCTGTTACCATGTTCTAATCAATACTTGTATTGAAAATTTAATTGA